TTTTTTTTTTTCTTTTTTTCCTCCAAAAAATAAACCAGAAATGCTCGCAGCGAAAATTTGATCTTTTTACCGTCTGCTCCATGAAAAATCCGCAGAGGAAGGAGATTGGAACTGCCTCTGCCAGGAAAGGGGGGAAATAAAGGGAGGAAAAAAGGGAAAATAGGAGGAAAAAAAAAATCCCTCGCAGTTTGATTTTTAAAGTTGAGTGAGTCAGCCCCGAGCCTCTGTGTGTGTTTGCCCGCGTGGTGCATCCTTGGCAGGGTTTGTAACCCTTTCCCAGCCCCGCTTCTCCTCCCAGCACGGAAAAGCGAGGAGGGAATGGTTGCTGGATCCCGCCTCAATTCYCAGATAATCCCCCCACAGCTCGGATGAGGGGGGGCGCGGGTGTATTTGAAATTTTTAATATTTTTTTCGCGGCGCGGTTTTATGAATGAATGCTCCCGRCTGAGCTGGGAGTGAAATCCCAGCCCTGGAAGTTGGGAAAGCTGCAGAAATCCAGACTGGGAAAGCAGGGAGCAGCGRGATGGGCTCGGGAGGGAATCCCGGCAGCTCCAAACCCCTTTTCCCGGCGTTCGGGATGCTCCTCCTGGCATCTCCCGGAGATCTCTGTGCCCACGTGGGCGAGAGAAGAAAAAAAAATCCCAAAATCATCATCAAAATAAACCCAAATCCCGAAAAAATAAACCCGGATCCCGATGATTTCTTGAGAAATTTGGAGTGAGGGCAGAGCGCTTTCGTCGCTGGGGGGAAAAAAAAATTAAATCAATGAAAACTAAAATAAAGCACGGAAAAGGGGTGGCAGAAGGGGCAGGGAATTTTCAGCCCCACGTTTTCCATCGGCTTTTGGAAGCTGCAGCTCCCTGGAGCCGAGGAGGGAGAGAGAGAAGCCAAAAATTCCCGATTTCTCCCCAAAACACACGGCGACCTGGAGGCTGGTAGGATCAACTTCTTGGGACAGCCAAGCAAACCCCCCTTGAGGCCGAAAGGTAATTGCGGAGGGAAAAGATTCCCAAGTTTGGGGGCTTTTGGGAACTTTGGGATTTGTTTGCGTGCGGGAAAGAAAAAAAAAACAAAAGTCCAAACTAAAAAAGGGACGGCAAAGGGGGAGAGTTTGGGGGTTTTTCTCGGTTCTTTCTCCCCTCCGAAGGCGAAAAGATAAAATTACTGCGTCTAAAAATAAAGCCGCGGTTCAAAGGTTCCCCCTCCCCGTCCGATCTCCCACCCCTTCCAGCCTCTCCCGCTGCTCCCTCCCTCCTTCCCTCCCTCCCTCCTTCCCTCTTCCCTCCCTCTCCCGCTGCCTCTCCGTGTTTGCGTTCGACAAAGAAATGATTTGAGCTCGGCGGAGCCGCGGCGCAGAGCGATCCCGAGGCGCTGGGGACCATATGGATGTGATTTGTGCCGCTCTCGCCCAGATGCCCGCGGCCATCCGGCGGCACCGGGAGCTGCGGCGCTGAGCGGCTCCGCTCCTCCGCCTCTCCTCCGCCTCCCATGGGCTCCTCGGCGCGGCTTCGGGAGCTGCCCGCCACCCCAGCCATGAGAAAACGAGCGAAAGGACCGGGCTTTCTTGTCATGTGCCTTTCTGGCTGAAAGCTGGGGAGCCGAGCGAGCCATCCCGCAGCTTCTGCGGCGGGCGGGGGGACGGCACGGAGGGAGAAGGAGAAATCAGCGCCGCTGGAAGAGCTCTCGTCCTCCTCCCGCTTCCCTGGATGCTGGAAGCAGCCCCTTGGATATGGGATCATATCTGGTTTATCACAGCCTGGGATTGATCCTCTGCTGCTCCGTGCTCAGTTCCGTCTACGCGCTGGTGAGTGCCGCTCTCTTCCCCCTCGCTTTTCCCGGTTTTCCTGCCCCGACGAGGAGGAATTTCGTGGACGAAAGCTTAAAAAGCTGTTTGGGATTTTTGGGGAGCGCGGGGGTTGTTCCGCCGGCGGGTCGGGAACGCGAGCGGGCTCCGAGGGCTGCAGCCGCTCGAATTAAAATGTCTGTGCTTCCCAAGAGTTGCGATCACTGGGAAACCTCCGGCCAGGAACGTGTGCGTTTGACAGGGATCTGGGACAGCGTCTGGGGGAGAATTTAAGGATCTGTCTGTGGAGAAAGGACAACTTTTCTCCTTTCCTTTTTCCTCTTTTTGCCCCCCTTTATAATGTTTTCCTTTGCTTTTTAGTTATTTTTCAAAATTTTTTAATTTCTCTTTAGTTTTCCTTTTTCTTTTTTCTCATTTTTTTCTTTTTCTTCTTTTTTCCTTTTCCTTTCGATTTTTTCTTTTCCCTTCCCTTCACTTTTTCTCTTCCCTTTCCCTTCCTCTTCCCCTTTCCCCTTCCGTTTCCCTTTCCTTTCCCTTTCCCTCTCCTTCCTTTTCCCTTCTCCCTCTTCCCTTCCCCTTTCCCTTCCCCTTCTCATTCCTCCTTCCCCCTTTCCCTTTCCTTCTTCTCCACCCCCTCCAAGGCGATTTCATTCCCAATAAATCTCCTTACCCCACAAATCTCCTTAATACCAGTGAAACTGAGCCTTTCCCCATGGAATTAAATTTGGGAAGAGCAGGACTCGCACTTCACCCTCCAGAGCAGGGAAGTTACAGTAACTGCTCCTTGGTACTTTTCACCCCTTCCTGCACACCTCGGGCTTTCCAAGGCTGGAAAAACGGGAGAAATCCATCCCAACGGCCTCGATGGTGGGAAGGGTTTAAGATCTGCAGGTCCAAAGCGCTCAGGAAGCAGTGAAGGGACATTTCCGAGGGAATCAGCCACTGGATATAGACCTAGTGCTGGAATTCTGCTGTGACAGGAGCTCTCTTGACTTTCCCCTTCCCTGGAATTGTCACTTCTGCTCCCATTTCCCGGCATTTTCTGGCCCAGGAAGGAGTAGGACCGCCATRGAAAGTGGGGTCGGCTCTCCAAGAGGGCTGGAGATAGGATGGGGATTGGGATTGGGATCATCCTGGCTCCAGGATGGCAGCCAGATCCTYTCTGACCCTCCAGGATCCACCACCCTGGGCCTTTATCCCTGGATTTAGTAGGGACAGTTTGGGATCACGTGCAGRGCTGGTAGAGAGGGGATTTTCCAACATTTCCCACAGGAATCGTCTCCTCTTCACAAAATGAGAAAGAACAGCCCCTTGGAAAACAATCCCTGTCTCAGTCCAGCCCAGTGAAATGCACAGAGAGACCTTCCCAAATTCAAAGAAGATTTGGGAAATCAGGAGAACTGCTTGTAGCTTTGTTGGTATTTCAGTGATGGAGGAGGTTTTCTCATATTTTGGGGTTGGATCAGCATCTCCAGCCTTTGGGGCCACAGCCAGGTCCTGCAGCACCTGCTCCCCCCTGCTCCACAATTCCGGCAATTCCTGCTGCTTTGGGAAAATCAGGATTGGGAACCAGCCAGGCTGGAGCTGGGGAAGTTTCAAGATGCAGAAAAACCAGGCAAAGCTGCATCTCCCATTCCCATTCCTGGCCCAGTCCCCTCTCCCAGTGCATCCCAGAGGAGTGAATCCAATGCCTGCTGCCTCGAATTCCCAGTGGGATTTCTTTGGGGTGCCCCATCCCAAGAGAGCCTTTCCATCCCAAGGGATGAGCTGGGAGCTGCCCCMATGTCCCCTGGACCTGGGCAAAAATCGGGAACAGCCCTTCCARAATCCCAGAAGGTTCAGAAATCCATGAAATCTGCTGGGAAAGCATGAGAGTTTTCCAACAGCCCCTCCTGGACCTGGATTTGCTGATCCCGTGGGTCCTTCCCAACCCAGGATATTCTGATTTTCACTGATTTCAGGTCCTGCTGCTCCAAACCCTGCTCGGTCCCATTCCAGACCCTTCCTCACTTTTCCAACCATTCTTGACAGCAGAAGGAATTTCCAGAGGGTTCCTAAATTCATYCTGACAACCCAGGAGCTGCAGAGATCCCGAGTGTCCCCGCTGGCAGCGGCTGAGGCAGGAAAATGTCACCCACTGTCACCAAGAATTGCCTTGAGCCTGGCTTTTATTGGAACTGTTGCTTCTTTTCCCAGTGGATCCRACTTTTAAATGGATTTTGGGAAGAGGGAATAGGATTGAGGGCGTTCAGAGGGAGAGATCCTTAAGCTCAGCCCAGTGGATTTATGATAAAATGGATTTTGATGATTTACTGAAGGCTCATCAATATTTTGGATATTTGGTCAGCARGTCTGAGGGATCATTGCTGTGAATTGTCCCAGGAGCCACGAGGAAAAATCCATGGGAATAACAGCAGGATGGAGATGAAGGGATCTAATCTCTGCTCTGGGCTGAGCTTAAGGAGGTCCCGAGTTTCCCCTTTGGCCGACCCGGGCCGGGCTCAGTGTGGGGTTGGATTCGGGAGATTCCCACAGAATTTTGTTCCCAGGTTGTGCTCCGGGACACGATTCCTCTGGCTGAGCTGGGAATGTGGGCCCTGATTCCCGGGATCTGCACAGCTCCGTGGTGCTGGGATGGGGCAGAGCACCGAGGTCCTAAATCCTTCCTAATTCCCGTTATTCCCCTTGGGAAGCAAGGATCATGCCAAAGGCACTTTTTGAGGGAATTGCACTGGAGCAGGAATGCGAAAATATTTATTTTGTCCAGATCCCTGGGATATCTCAGGATTGGGCTGCTGGATCCCTTGCCCGCAGCACCCGGGCTGGGTGTCCCAGAATTCCAGCCGGGGGAAAAAATCCTTTGGGAAGGAGAGAAGTGTGGAAAACCAGATATACCCTCCGAGAGTCCCAAATCCTGTGGGATCATCCTCCTCACCCCGAGTTTTGAGAGGGACAATTGAGGGGTGGGAAAGACTCGGGTGAGGGTCAGCTTTGTTCCAACTCTCCTGACAATCCRTGGAAATATTCCCAACATTTCCCTGGAACAGCCCAAGATTGAGCAATGGGTGGGATTGCACTCGGACTGAGTGTTTTGCGCCTTCGATGGGGCAGGGGGAGGCTGGAAACTTGGGGTAATTCCGCTCTTTGGTCCCGGAACTAAGGAATTCAGGCTGGCCTAAGGCAGAGATGGGGTGGGGAGAATTTGGGATAAAAGGAGCTTTAAAATCRTGTCTGGCATCGTCAGGGAAAAATGGGAATGCTGATTTTATCTGGGAAGTGCCGGCAGGGAAAGTCTTCCTGTGTCATTAATGGTTGGATTTTAGGATCTGAGAGGTCTTTCCAACCTAATCCTAGGATTTATGGAGCCAAAAGCTCCATAGAAAGCCATGATTTTTTTCTGCAACCCCTTCGGTTTTCACTTTGCTCCTTTTCCCAGTCTCGAATCCCTGGCAAATCCCAACCCGGTTGTTATCGTGAATAATCAATTAATTCATTATTAATAACGATAGACCAGCCCTCTGCAGGGTTTGGGACCACAACAGCCCAATTTTGGGAAGCAGCTCCCGGGCTGAGCCGGCTGCAGTMGGCTGAGCTCTACAAGGGGCAGGGAAGCAAATCCGCGTGGAAGGAAACAGGTGGGGAAAGGGATCCTTCCCATTTTATTGGAATAGGCCCTGGAGTGGAATTCCCAGAGAAGCTGTGRCTGCCCCTGGATCCCTGGAAGTGTCCAAGGCCAGGCTGGATGGAGTTTGGAGCARCCTGGGATAGTGGAAGTTGTTGGAGCGGGATCATCCTGAAGGTCCCTTCCACCCCAAACCACTGAAATTCTGTGCTCTTGAGGAAGGTTCGGATTAAGGAGGAGCTGGTTGGGATTTTCTCTTGGACTCGTTCCTTGTTCCTCTGATCAGATCCACATTTCCAGAGATCGGGAAAGAGGAATGGTTTTATGTTAGATAATTCCTGAGTGGAAGAAAGGAATAGCAATATTCATCCTCAGAATAAGAATAAGAATAAGAATAAGAATAAGAATAAGAATAAGAATAAGAATAAGAATAAGAATAAGAATAAGAATAAGAATAAGTAATAATAATAAATTAATAATAATAGTGATGTCCTGTATAGAGATCCTGCAAATCCCAATTCCATTAATTCCAAGGCCCAAGTGCAAGGAAATAACCTCAGAAAATCCTTTTGCTGGGTACACTCTGGGGAAGGAGCCCATCTCTGCTCCTGGAATTCTGTGGGATACCCCTGCTGTTATTTCCCTCCAGGATCAGCCGATATCCCGGGATCTGCAAAGGGAAAGCAAACAAATCCCCGTGCGAGGGTACGGCCCAGCCTGTCAGCTCAGCCAGCTCAAGCCCAAAAAATTCCAGCAAATCCCAGCAGGATTTGTGGAGCTCCCGGTCTCGGGAAGAGGAAAAGCCAGAGCACAGCTGAGCCCAGGGAGGGGTCAAGGCTGGGGGAGCAGAGCCCAGGGCTCCGGGCAGTTGTTGTTTGCTTTGTGCTGTCCCCGAAATAGCCCGGAGCGCTGGGCTGGGATCAGCGGGATTATCCCGGCTGGACATCCCGGGCTGTGCCCGCAGGGATCGCCCCGGCCCGGGGCATGGACAGCTGGAGCCACCAGGGCCACCCACGGGCCCTGGACAGCGATGTGAGCGGCACCCCGGAGCCTCTCCCAGGCTGGAAGTGCTGGTAAGGGATTGGGATTGTCCCGCTGGAGCATCCCCACCCTCTGGAAAAGGCGGCCCTTGGAGCCAACCCAGCTGAAATCAGCTCTGTTTGCAAAGGGATTTGGGACACAGAGGCCACTYTGGGCACCCTGGAATTCCCAGGATTTCTGGCCATGGGGTGAGGGGGGAAACATCTGCTGGCTATGGGACCCAGGGCTGGGAATGTCCAAGGCCAGGCTGGATGAGGTTTGAGCAACCTGGCATAGTGGGAAGTGTCCCTGCCCTGGACAGGATGACATTTCAGGTCTCTCCAACCCAAATCCTTCT